GCTGCAAACCCTGAGACCCATAACTGTGACCTGCTTTGCAAGATATAGTGGCACAATAATGACATAGATGTCATGAAGTAACCAAATATATTTAAGGCCTACTCCATGAGAGGGAACCCACACCTGGACATTAATAAGGCCACAAATGTGAGACTAGATGAGTCATGGGCCCTAGGGAAAAACCTACTACTATTATTCTGCTAAAAGAGCATGCCACCCCTAAAGACATATGGCTGCACTCATAGATTAATGCATTGCTCAGCCCCCATCAGAGAAGTTCTTCTTGGAGAAGATGACAATTAATACAGAAACACACATTCAACTGGAGAATGTGAGACATTGGAATACTCAGTTCTAAATGAGATGTCTTTATCAAACCCCTTTTCTCAAGCCCCAGAGATCTGTGTGGAAGAGGCAGAAAGAGCCAAAGGCAGTGGATGACTCCAAAGAAACAGTGTCTTTCAGACACAGCAGGGCTGATGCACATATGAACTTGCAGAGACTGCAACAGAATGCACAAGACTACACAAACTCAAGCTAGATAAGATTCCAGCACAGAGAAGAGGAAGAGGGCACCAAGTTCCATCCCTAAACGAGATGCTAATTGAAATTAATACCTGCTCAGAAAGGGAAAATCACTTTTCTCCAGTGGAATGACACTGGGTATATGAACTGCACTGCAAGGCAGACCTCGTGCTCAGGAGTCGCTGGTCAACACAATGTGCTCCATGTTTGTTTTGGATTTGTGTGTGTGTGTGTGTGTGTGTGTGTGTGTGTGTGTGTGTTCCTGTGCGTGCATGTGTATGTTAAAATTTTGGGTGGGTGGGAAGGTAGGGAAATTTTAGGAGGAGTTGGGGAAAGGGAAAGATATGAAAAAATATGTTGTATGAAAATTTTTTAAATAATTTTTAATGTAATAAAAATGGAATGGCCTAGACAAGAAAAATCCATAAACACTTCACAGTGTCTACCATTCTAAGTGTGAGAAATGAGAAGTTTATTAAATTTCTTGTATCTAGCTTTCAAGTCTCTAGTGGTTTCTTCTTTTGCATTTCTTTGGACTTCTGCTAAACATTTGTGTTACATTACATGCACGCGAGTGCACATGCACGCGCGCATACACACACACACACACACACACACACATACACACACACACACACACACACACACACACACACACACACACAGTTTGCAAAGAGTAAAGAGTGCATTTTGGTACAAAGATTGTGCTCAAATAATTTATTGTAGAATGAATAAACTTTTCCTTTAGGAGAATGGTCAGGTCACACACTGACTTAATCTTTTTCTGTTTCCTTGTTGAATTCTTCCTTTATCATATTTTATGAGCCTGAATGTCTTTTTATACTAAATTGTACCATCTACATCTCCTTAAGCACTCTCCCTCCAAATCAGATGTCTTTTCTGCCTCTTCCTTATTTCGGTCTAGTTCCTTGTGGCCTTCCCCATGGAGTGTGAGGTTTTGTGTGTTGTCCCCCCACACACACACACCTATTTATGTCTGTGAGTATGAAAGCCTTTGACTGCTGTGGGCTGGCCTGTCTGTGTGTCTCGTTCAGTGGAAAGGACATGAGTGTTTGGCTTCGGAGGCCAGTAGGAAGCTGACTGCTCCATTCTTGTGCAATGGTCCCACTTGCAAAGGAGCTAAGTGTTTGCCTCTTGGTGTAAATGGACATTTCTCTGTCCTGCCCTGTCCCGAAGCTGCTTCCAAATAACCACACAGGGGTTTATATTAATTATTAATGCCCAACCAATAGCTCAGGCTTATTACTAGCTAACTACATTTAAATTAACCCATATTTCTATCTATGCTTTGCCACGTGGCTCCAGGCTTATTACCTCATTTTCTACACATCCTGCTTGTTCAGACACAATTGGCTGGCATCGCCTTGACTCCACTCTTCTTCTTCCCATCATTCTGTTTGGCTTTTTTGCCTAACCTTATCTTGTCAGGCTATTGGTCAGTCAGCTTCCTTATTAAACCAATCAGAGCATAATTTACAAGTGTACCTTGGTGTTATATCCTGAGAAACTCCTTACTGAGCTGATAAAACAATGTCCGAAAACTTAAGAAAATTTAGGGCAGCTCTAAGAAAGGCCTTGCTGTGGAAGCCTGATGGCCTGAGTCCAGTCTCAGAACTCAGGACTTGCTGCAGGAGAGAGCCAACTTCCCAGAGCAATCCTCTGAGGCCCTGTTACATCAAGAAGCTGTGGCTTTAAAGAAACAAAGCAATTGCCGGGCAGTGGTGATGCATGCCTTTTGTCCCAGCACTCTGGAGGCAGAGGCAGGCAGATTTCTGTGAGTTCGAGACCAATCTGATCTACAAGAGCTAGTTCCAGGACAGCCTCCAAAGCCACAGAGAAACCCTGTCTTGAAAACCCTCTCCACCCCCAAGAAAGGAAGGAAGGAAGGAAAGAAGGAAGGAAGGAAGGAAGGAAGGAGGGAAGAAAGGAAGGAAGGAAGGAAGAAAGAAAGAAAGAAAGAAAGAAAGAAAGAAAGAAAGAAAGAAAGAAAGAAACTCCAGAGAACTCCAACCACACCTCCTACAACCTCTGCCAACACCACAGTTGACCAAGGCATGCTGACAAAGACTATTTCTCTCCTTCCTGCTGCAAACAAGCCCTGCCTTCCCACTGCTGCCAAGGACCAGGGACACTTTGAATTGTGACTAATTTCTTACCAGCTCCTTTCTGGATTCAGGATCAAAGCACCTTACAGCACCTCCCCCTTGGGGAAACACAAAAGTAAAAAATCATCTCGACTCTTCCTTCAGTTGCAGTCTGGGATCAAGTCACCACTTTGGTGGTCGGTGTTACTAAAGGACCGGTTTACCTGAAATACATCTCTGTGGTGTTTTGCTATTTTTTTTTTGAGACACAGTCTCACTGGCCAGGAACTAGCTATGTAGAGAAGGCTGGCCTCAAGCTCACAGAGATCCCCCTGCGTCTGCCTCCTGTGAGCTCAGATTAAAGATGTGTGCTACCATGGATGGTCCTGCCTATGTATTTTTGAACCAGCACCCAACGGTATGCACACACATACACTCACACATACTCACACATATTATCTACAGACAAGTTAATAATAAATATCAATTTAAAAATAAAATAAAATGTGAATGCTGCCAGGTGCGATGGTGTGCACCTTTAATCCCAGCACGTGGGGGCAGAGCCAGGCAGATCTCTGAGTTCCAGGTCAGTCTTGTTTACAAAATGAGTTCTAGGACAGCCAGGACTACATAGAGAAACCTGGTCTCAAAAACAGTGAATGCTATCCCAGGTACATACGTCCCTACTGCATCATTGAAAACTTTAGCTCCACTGCACCCCTTTGCATCCACTGGATCCCTTGAAATGCCGAGCATGAAGAGCATGTATGTGGCTGATGCTAGCTGAGTGATGGGCAGACATGCCGTGGGGTTCCCCAATGACTGCCTCACTGTTAGGTGTGTATCAGAGACACCTCTACACATTTTTCCAAATAAACAACAACAACAAAATTGTACAACCGTCATTTTATTCTTATTAACGTGCTTGTAGTAAAGGTCACACAAACAACAAAAGTAGGTTTTCATGAGGCCTATCAAGGAGGGCCTAGAAGTGAGAGATTCCTGATACGAAGTGGGGACACAAATAGAATAAAAAAAAAAAAAAAAGGAAGCCAACCTCTAGCCTCTTCCTCACACTCTTGACCTGAGGTAGAGCAAGCCTTTAAGGCCTGGAGAGTTTCTTCTCCTACCGGTAAGGCAGTAGGGCCCCCTGCTGGTGGCCTGGCCAACAAGTTCAAGGCCAGATCAGGACATTTTAATCCCTAAATTGAGGGTATCAATCTACCTCACCTTTTATTCAAGTGAACAGGCCTTAAATTAGGGGAGGGACACTCCTCACAGACCCTTAAAACCCTGACCATCGAGGAGAGAGCAGATTTCTGACTCTGCTCTCATATCTGTGATATTCCAAACTCCACATTATGGTTTAATCGGCCCATTAGCCTTTGCACAGGCAGTTTCTTTGCAGGAATTTTCAGTCACTCTGTGAGCCAGCCAAACACCAAGGAGAACAGTGAGTTTATAGCAGTGAAGGCACAAGGTGAAGTTAGGGCACTGAAGACGTCTGGATGTCTAAAACCTGCCTCCTAGAAGGAGCTATGGAAGGGAGGATAGTAGGGAACATACATGAAAACTCTGACCTCAGAATGGGTATTTCAGTTTCAGCTTCTAAGCAAAGCAACTCATTCCTCTGTCCCAAATGAGTGAACAAGGATTTTGTTTTCTTTAGTTTTGTTTTCTGAGATTGGTTGGTGAGTTAAAAAATAAATAAATAAAAAGGATGCATGAATGGTGACTCTGAAGGCGGTAAAAGTTAAATATCTTCAATGTAGTTAGTGTCTGGCTTTGACTTTGACCATCTCTAAACCTGTTAAGGCCCAATGTTACAAGAAGCATTCCCTCGGTGGTTTATCTGTGTCTAGTGTTCTTTCTCACTTCCTCTAACGCCCTATGATTCTACCGTGAGAGCCTGAAACCACTACACACAGAATCAGGATGTGCCCTGACCAAGCTGGCAGGACATTTGACACTTAGGTGGAGTGTGATGAGAGCCCTGAAGCCCTCTTCCTGTGACTGTCTGGGCAAACCCTTCCTAGGGCCTGTGGATGTTCAAAGTGTTACTCGGGGTCTCTGTGTTAAGTTAGGGTTTCCTTCCTTACTCCTATCTGTGCACTAGTCCACACCTGTTCCATTCCCCAACTCTTTGGTATAAGCCAGTCTCAGATCTCTAAGACAGTTCTGATCAGGTCACAGCAAAAGTGACTGCCACACAACCTTGGCTGGGGTCCTACTATCTCAGCTTATAGTGTGTTGAGCTTATAGTGGGAAAATCAACTGGCGCATATAACCTTTCCTGACAACGTGGCAGCCTTCAGCTCAGGGGACCACTCATCCTTTAATACAGTTTCTTTTTCACCTTTCTCGTGCTAGATGGATGGAGTGGAACCCTGGCTTCCCATTGAGTATCGATGCCAAAAGCCACAAGGATTTGCCCCGAGACATCCAGTTCGATAGTGAAAAAGGAGTGGACTTTGTTCTGAACTACTCAAAAGCGTAAGTTCTAGGAACTTCAGGGAGTGGGTGGCCCATCTGGTAGCTGGGTATGGGGCATTGTTAGAAATGAGTTTGGGATCACAAGAAAAGAGAGCACCATTCCATCTGTCTGGACAAGGCAACGGCATGATGGAGTGTGGGCTCTGAGGAGCGAACACACACCAGGACAGGAATGCACTTGGTTTTGATTCCAGCTCAGGTGGCTGCTCTGTTTTTCCCTAATGACTGAATCCAACTCACAGTCTTAAATTAACTGGCTAGTCTGAAAATAATTGGCACACGGGAAGTGAAGGAAGTGGTAAGGGCTCACTGTTCCAGGCCATCAAATGCCTGGAATACAGTTGTGGACCTTTGTGTAAATTAAGGTTTCACTGGGGTGTGGAGGATGCAAGCATTTCCATAAAGGTTTTATAAGGTTGTTGGGGAGGGACACAAGAAGATTTTAATTCCTTGTTCTTAACACACGTTTTATCGTGTTTGATAGAAAAAGACTCCTATTTAATCTTTCTTATAATAGGACCTTTGTTCTTTTCCTTTGAGGGCCTTGAGCTGAGCAAACAGTTCAGCTGAACACCATTCCCAATGCATTTCTATATATCTGGGCCAGGGGATAGCTGCTTATTGCACAATTGAAAGATGACCTGTATCTAAGATGACCTGTATCTAAGATGACCTGTATCTAAACAGCCTTGACCCAGCAGTCTCCCAACACTAGCAGCACCGTGCTTTCAGCCCAGGCAGGGGCTGTCCTTACAATGCTCCATCACCACCCCCAATTCATTCCTTCTGTGGCCAGTCTACCTGAAGATGGTGTCCAGACTATTCCCAAGAGGCAGATTCTGTAGTGACAATGACTAGAAAGACAGTGTCGGTCCGATCATTTGTCTTAGTGACCTCATGAAATAGGCACATGTATTAGTCAGTGTTCTGTAGCTGTGAGGAGACACCATGACCAAGGAAACTCATAAAGGAAACCATTTCATCAGGGGCTTCTCAGAGGTTCTCATCACAGCGGGGAGTATTGGCACAAGTGATGCTGGAGAAGCAGCTGGGAGCTTTGCATCCCGATCCACAGCAGACCTGTTGTGGGACTTTGAAACTTCTAAGCCCATCCCCAGTGACACATTTTCTCCAACAAATGGGGTCATTCGAACTGCCATAGCACATATTGCCCCCTCTTTGCAGCTGAGGAACCTGAGAAATAAGTAAGTTGAAGACCTTGCCTAAGGTCTTATTTGGGAATAAGCAACAGAGACATTGAACTCTGGGTTACAGGTTTTCACTAGAATCACTGCAGGATGATGTGCTACACCAAGGTTAGCAGGGACAGCTTTCATACTATTCTTTGACTCTTAGAGAACTTTTATAATCATACACACTTAGAAAAACCCTAAATTCATGAAGCCCAACAGAGCTTCATACTCCCCTGAGGACTTTTGGCAGGCACTTCCTAGCCCCCACCCAGCACAACCATAGACAAGTCATTGAGAGTGGGACCTGACTGCGCACCCAACAGGTGGCCAGGGCTGAGAGCCACTCAGTCTCCTCAGTCTGGGCGTTTTCTAACTATAGACTCCTTTTAAAACTTGACAGCTATTATCAATCATTTCTAGGTAAGGAAACAGATTCCAGTGGGTGAAGGTCAAATACTTTACCTATACACATTAAGGCAGAAACTAACGGCGGTGGTTTGAATGAGAAATGGCTCTATAGGTTTGGGTATATGAACTCTTGGTACCCAATTGGTGGTCATATTTGACAAGGTTCATTTAGGAGGTGTGGCCTTGCTGGAGGAAGTACATTACTGGAGGTGGGCTTTGAGAGCATCATCCTCTTCCTGCTCACTCTCTTGCCTTGTGCTTGCATTTGACGATATGAGCTCTCAGCTTCTAGCTCTCGGTGCCTGCTGCTGTGTTGTTGCCACCATTATGGACTCTAACCCTATGGATCATGAGCCGGAATAAACTCTCCCCTCTATAACTTGCTTGGTTATGATGTTTATCACATCAACAGAAAATTAACTAGGATGGTAGCAGAGAGTAGGCTGTGGCTGTGAAGAGCCTGACCATGGTTTTGTTGTTGTTGTTGTTGTTGTTATTGTTGTTATTGTTGTTTATTAGCTTCGTTCAGTTGGTGGTGGGTCTTTTTGTTTTGTTTTGTTTTATTGTTTTGGCATGTAAAGGACTTTGGAACTTGGGACTAGGAAAGCAGTTGAATGCTGTAAATGGAACTTAACAAGCTATCCTCATAGGAAACTGAAAGACACCACTGGTGAGAGCAACGCAGACTGTAGAGGCCTGGCTCAAACGTTTTCAGAGGGAAGCAAGGACTCTAATAGCAACTGGGCTAGGGGCTGTTCCTGTGATATTTTGACAAAGAATCTGGCTGTTTTCTGCCCGTGTCCTGAGAGTTTACCTAAAGCTAAATTAAAAAATAATGGAATAACGTCTTTGGAAATTTTGAGACTGCATAATGTCAAGTTTGTGTCTATCTATTATTAATAATGCTCATTCAGGCCTATAAAGAAAAAAAGAAAGCAGGGCGGTAAGGAATGCAAGTGTACAAGGTGGAGAGAGAAAAGGGTAGGAAGTGTAACAAGCAAGGCATTGTTAGAGGAGAGGTTACAACTGCTAAGGCGCTGAGCACAGCTAAGGAGAGGACTGCTATGCACTGAAACAAGGGATGGGTGCCTAAAGGGAAAGACCCCACCCAGGTAAGCTTCCAACTTGTGAAAGAAGCCTCCTATGAGAGAAGATCTGCTATGGAGATCTCTGCTCTAGAAAGCAACTGAGTGAAAGTGCTGGTGCTGGTGTGATTCAAGACGGACAGGGTCCATCCCAAGATGGTGGCTGAACTCAGCTGTGTCACCCATGAGGATTCTCCCTCCAGGGAGTTACAAAGCCACTAAGCAAGGCGTTGTGTGGCAAGGGTGTCCCTAGATGAAAACCATGAGGAAGCAGGAGGCTCTGAGAGGCTATTGCATCACTCTGTACAAGTGTGGCCTGGGTTGCAATGGAGATCACAAGATATTGGTGATGTCAGAGCTGAGACATCTGCCAAGGAGAATTCCACACATAGACTGGAACCAGCCCAAGAGAGAGAGATATGCTGCAGTCAGCAAAGCTGGAAGGGCAGAACCGCTGAAGCCCTTTGACAGCAGGCAGGAGCTACATTGGAGCTTGCTCTTCGGGGTTTCCATCTTTGATCCACGATTTCCTTGCTATGCCCACTTTCCTCTCTTGTGGAATGGTAGTATATATTCTGTGGCACTCTGTATTGGAAGAATGCAGTTTTCTCCTTGGTTTTATAAAGGTCATAATTAAGAGATTGCCTTGAGTCTCAGAAGAGACTTTGGACTTCTCAGTGGTGAGATCTAAAGACTATGAGGACTATGGATTTGGACTAAATGCATTTTGCACTATGATACGGCCACAGATCAATAGGGACCGGGAAGTGGAGTGTGGCTTGAGTGAGAAATGTCCCCCTTAGGTTTGGGGGTGGTAATATTTGATGGTGCTATTTGGGGAGCTTAGGAGGTGCAGCCTCGCCCCATTTCTGGTTTGTGCTCTGCAAAGGGATGGATGAACAATAGCATGAAGAGGCAGCACTCCAGGCTCTTCCGGAGACCACTGGCCTGGGCTCTTACACAGCTGAGGCACAGTAGGAAGAGCGTCGGACACAGGCTAATGTCTGTCCTGGTCCTACAAGGCCAGCACCTGCTCTCTGGGAACTGTCTGGGCTAGCAGGAGGCTCCTGAGTATGGAGTGAAGACACTCTGCAGAGTGTCGGCGTAGTGTGCAGGCAAGGTGACCTGTCCCCCGGTTTACAGGATGGAGAACCTGTTCATCAATCGCTTCATGCACATGTTTCAGTCTTCCTGGAATGACTTTGCTGATTTTGAGAAAATCTTCGTCAAGATCAGCAACACTATTTCTGGTAAGAAGGCTCCTGGGTTTGGGGCGTGGGGGGGTTACTTTTCTGCCCCAGACTGGCTGACATCCAACTCAAGCACCCTCAACGTCTCACCAGAAGTCTCAATGCTATCGGGACTTTCTGTTTACACAAATACATCATTTGTGGCTCTTCTACACAGAGCCAAGGCAGGACTGGGCTATTTCTTTTTAAGTATTTACATTAAAGTAGCATTGGAGGGTGACTTAAGAGCCCAGTGGTTAAGAGCTAATTCTGCTCTCGAAAAGGTGCAGTTCCCAGCATCCACACTGGGTGGCTCACAACCACAATAACTCCAGGTTCAGGGGGATCCAAAGTCTCTGCTGATCTCTGTAGACACTTGCACTCAACACACACACACACACACACACACACACACACACACACGCACGCACGCACGCACGCGCGCGCACGCACGCACGCACGCACGCACGAACACGCACACACAGATAGTAAATAATAATAGTAAAATTAAAATTTAAAAACAACATTGGGGTCCTTAGGACCAGGATTTGTTTGCTTAGAGCCCTGATACTGTGCTAGACAGTTATGGATGGAGAGTTGTGAGAGCCATCATTCTTTAAGGACTCAAGAATGGTTGGATAAAGCTGCTGACCTCAGCATAGGGGACCAGTTCGCTCCCTTCTCATGCCATGCTGAACGACTGTAGATCTTGAGAAGAATGGATGCCTGGGAGTCTTGCTGGTCACTAAGGCACAGCTCAAGGAAGACTAGGGGTATAGTGACCATTGATGAGCAGGCACACAGCAAGTGGGAATGGCAAGTGAGAGGAGCCTGAGTGTCTTGAAAGGGAGTCCCTGCAAAGACTTGTCCGTAGGCAGAGCCATGGGGGCTTGCCCAGATGTCCTATCTAGGGGGCGTGCCCTCCTGTTCTCCCCACAGAGCGAGTCAAGAACCACTGGCAAGAGGACCTTATGTTCGGTTACCAGTTCCTGAATGGCTGCAACCCGGTACTCATCAAGCGCTGCACGGAGTTGCCCCAGAAGCTCCCAGTGACCACAGAGATGGTGGAGTGCAGCCTAGAGCGGAATCTCAGTTTAGAACAGGAAGTACAGGTAGGATTGCTGGCTGGAGACAGTCCTTCCACAGAAGCCACTTCCTGATGCCAATGCTTGCTAATCCCCAGACCGCTGTTTTTTCTGTTTGACTGACGATACAAAATCAGAAGTTTTTTTGTTTGTTTGTTTTTTGTTTTTTTTTTTTCTTTTTCCTGGCAGCAGCACCCATGAGGGTCTTGGGCACTGCACAGTCACAGAAGGGGCTGTATCTACACCAGCCTGACAGCTACAAACCTAGTGTCAGTATTTGCAAAACCCATATCAATAATTACAAAAGGGCCTGTACTGTGTCAGGCATTGTGACAGATGTGTTCTATACATGGTCAACCAAGCATCAACCACTTTGCAAAAGAGAAGACTGGTTAAGGAAGCGGGCTTTGTGTAAGGACAAAAGGCAGAGACTGGTAGAATTTATTACTTTCTAACTAGAAACATGTATGGTACCTGTGCCTCCCTCACCTCACCAAGCCAGTCACTCCTGGCTCTCACTTGCAGGTTCAACCGTTTACTCCCAGGTCCAAGGCTACCCTTGTTTTGAGACAGAAAGAATTCAAACTGAATTGGCTTGTAACTGACGGGATTTTTTAGGCATTGCCATGTTAGATTTTTTTTTTTTTTTTAGTTTTGTGTTTGTCTGATTGTTTACTGAGAGTCCTAATGACAACCCTCAGTATCCTGTCTTCTCCCTCTCCCCATTTCAGTCAGCATCACTGGGCCTCCCATCTCCAGCTGTCTGTCTAGCCACTGGTCACCCTGTCTAGGTACCCAGTTCACACTGAGACTCCAGACACACATCGTCCAGCCCTAACCTCCTGCCTACTTGTCTTTGGAAGGTTATCTACCCAACTGAAGTTGGGTTCCTGACCCACTCAGGCAGGCCTTCCACAGTCTTCCGGACCTGCCTGGGTCCCTGGATACTACCTAGTCATGTACACAGCCAGCAATAACAATAACAATAACAACTCTTACACCCACCCACCCATGCACAGAAACCAGCATCTTAGAACCAAGAGGACATGAGCAGCCATCATTGCCCCTAGCCACCCAAAAGCAGGCCCCTGCTTATTCTCTAAGGCAACATCCTCTTACTGGTGAGCCCCTGCCACTTCCAGGGAAGGTGGCTTATGTGTTATGGGTTATCTTCACTTTGAGCTGACCCATCAAACACATGATCATGATGTTCTGCTGTGGTTTAGATCATGAGGCAATTATCCATGAATCTAACAGCCACCACTGACTAGACTCCTACATACATACTGCCTTGTCTCTTACACTGTCCCTGACTAACACAACAGCGCAGTTCTTAAGGCCCTCCATCATTCTCAATGCCTACCTTTGATAACCTCAGGGACATGTTAAACTCACAGCTCCTAAATTGCTTTCAGGATTGGGAATTGGACCCAGAGCCTCACATGTTTTAGCAAAGCTCTTCCACAGAGCTATGTTACCAAACCCTAAATATTTTTTAATCTTTCTCAGTGAAATTTATTTTTGGAACAAGAATAGAAGAACCTTTGAAGGACCCCGTTTTCCCCTGCATCTGTGCAGAGTAGTCCCATCCCTTCCCATCTCTTCCTTTCCTGTCCTGGACAACAATGCTGCTAAATTTCCCAGCATTGAACATGATCTAAATGAAGTCCCGCAGGGCATCTGGGTGTTTGGCTTCTCTCATCTACCCCCCTCTGACCCCTCAGAGTTGTCTTGCAACTTCCTTCATGAGAATCAAGCAGGTTTCAGTTACAATGAACGTAAGTTAGCCATGGCCAGTGTTTCATCTTAGCTTTGAAAATTCCATGTGTAAACCAGCTTTGGTGCTAGAAACTGAAACCCATCGATTCTGAATCCCACTTGTAACCAGAGTTTTAGAACAAAAGCCCAGGTTCCTCAGGCTGAGACAGGCTAGGGGAGGCCACCCAACCCGACACACTAACAAAAGAGATAAATATTGCAGTAAAAAGCAGACAGAGATTTAATCAATGTGGACACATGGGAGGGAAGAGATAATGGAGTCCAGTGACCCCAAATCCATCTTAGGGCAGTGGCATGAACTTTAGGATTAAATAGAGAAAGGCCTGGGGCAGGGGACAAAGCCAAGGTGTGGTCTGTTTGATCATTGTTTTGGTTCTGCAATAGTCCAAAGACATCTTCCCTGCTGGTTAAAGGGACAAATCTGGTTTTTACAAGACGATTACTTCTGCTCCAGACTGTAGTATGACTATCTTGGTGCAAATATGTGTGTGTGTGTGTGTGTGTGTGTGTGTGTGTGTGTGTGTGTGTGTGTGTGAATCCTGGTAGGTGTTAGCTGTTTCTGGTATCCAAGACTGTAACATATTTTAAATTCTTGCAGCAAATATTTTGGTTTCAAATATTTCAAACCTTAGAACCACGAAGGAGACAGCTTAGAACTTTTGTTCTATTATATATTATACATGAATGGATCACTATGTTGAATGTAAATATAAAAGACATTGTTGTATTAAATATATACTGCAGGAGAGAATGAGGACTGTATCTGTGTCCTTGGCCTTGAAGAGAGAGAAAATAGGTTTGACAGACATTCCTCCAGTGATAAGCTACTGACTTGCAGAGTTGGCCAGAGTCTGACCCAAAGTGGAAAAACACAAAACAAAGGCAGGGATAGCAGTGCATTTGCTTACTGTGCACACTCAAGTGAGGAGTCACGCTTCTTAGTTAGCAGTTTCTAGGTGATGGTTACACACTAAGTTACAAGGAAGTGGGTGGGATGTCCTGAAGGCCATCACTCACATCCTGCTTCCGACCTGGCTCTCAGGTCCATTCTGCTTAAAGTAGCTTGAATATGTTTCTCTGCAGGAAGGGAACATTTTCATCGTGGACTATGAACTACTGGATGGCATCGATGCCAACAAAACTGACCCTTGCACACATCAGTTCCTGGCTGCACCCATCTGCCTGCTGTATAAGAATCTAGCCAACAAGATTGTTCCCATTGCCATCCAGGTAGGTGGGCTGCTGACCTTCAGCCCTTCTGTGTGACTTGGACCTCAGGAGTGAGATTGGGAAGGACTTTCTGGGGCAGCTCCACCCATCCTGTCAGGGGCACATACAGCTCTCACTCCAGCTTTCACTGGGTCAGAAGAGAAAAAGGAGCTATTGGGACCCAGCACTGCTGTCAAGCAAGCTGTCTGTACCATAAGAGGCAGACAGCGGCTTTCCCAGACACCCTTGAGAAAGTTCCCTACTGGGGCTGAGCACACTAGGGAGGACTTGTCCTACAATGATATGCTGTTCCTCCCACTCATTTCCTGACCAGTGTTCCCAAAGGAACATGCCCACACAAGCCAGACAGGTGAAGCCCAGAGTTAAGCTGCAAACAAGCCACTGAGCAGTGTCAGAGTCCTCACCAGTGCCGGGGCATTGTCTTCCATGCAAGTAGATTATTGCAATCCCAAGGCCAGCGGAGGGCCAGCGGAGCAGTCTCGTGGGAGGCAGATGGGCACAGGGTCTCATCTATCTGCCCTGTGAGAGCTGACTGCAGACAGCAATGAGAAGGCTAGGAAAGGCAAAGCAGGACTAAGTGAAGGTCCCTGGGGGACAGGGCTTTACAGAGGCCCTGTGGGGGATGGAAAGATAGAGGTCAGCACATGGTGCCTGTGACCTAGACACTGGGTGTATGGGAATAATATCAGCTGGAGGTGCAGCTCACCCTGCACAGTCCCAAAGCCCTTGCCTGGGAAGTCTCAGAGGTCCTGAAAACCGCTGTGTGTTAAATACCTAAGAATGGACACTACGCTCGATCTTAAACAAAAGACCAAGATGCTGTAAAACTGTGACACAGTTTTAGTTTCCCAGAAAATCTGTTAGTTTTAGATAAACCTCTGGACCACAAGGTTCAGAACTTTTAGAATGTTTGTTCCATTCAATATGATACATGGATGGCCCACTCCAGAAACATCGATGCGTTGATATAAATGCCAAATACATTATGTTGTCCCAGACCTGGAGGAGAGACTTACCACATAACACAGCATCTGCATTGCTGACATCCTGGACACTCTGGATCTAAAGCATATGACATTCACACAGTGCCTCTTTCCATTTGTGCAATCGGCACCTTATTGATTATCATCTTACCTGGCTAAGGAGACTAAGGTACAGGTGCCCACAGAGGTGGGATTCAAGCCGGCTGTCTCAAGCCTGAAGTTTATTTAGCTGGTGTTTTTAATCCCAGGCTGTGAGTTCAAGGCCAGCCTGGGCTACCGAGTGATACCTAGTGTCAAAATTTTAATTCATTAACCAAAGCAGTTGGCTACATGTCTCCTAGTTTCCCAGGACCCCACCCCTCCACTCCAGGAGTCCTTGGCCTCTTATCAGAGAAAGCTCTGTGAGAGGCTGAAGCTTTAGATGAAGGCACAGGAAATGTGTGAAATCACCAATGGAAGCTGACGCCAGGATGGGTTACCACAGACAGGTGTGCTCAACTAGCTTGTCTCAGACACAGGTTTATTAGAGCCTCCTAGAACCAGGGGGCTGGCTTAAATCTCAGATCTTTCCATTGCTAGCAGGAAGTCGGGCATCAGACAACCCACAGAATCTGGTTAACCTTTCTCTAGTCTGCCCAGAAGAATGGATGCCGCCCAGGGAAGTGGTAACAACACAGTTCCCAGGTCAGCACTTGAGCAGGGCCCGCAGGTGCTGCCACAGTCTGGATTTCAGGCTGGGCTGTAAAAGGACCATGGGTCTCAGTGTTGAGGCTGGCATGGCTAGGACAGTTGAAGCAGTGCTAAGAGGTTCCTTGCCAAGACTCCACTAGCTGAATTAGCCTGAGGATCCACAGAGTAGCATGCTAGAGGGTAGGGATCATGGCACTGGTTTTGTGGGAGGCTGCAGTCATTGTGAGTGTAGGAGAGGGTTGACGGGATGAAGCCATGTCCCAATCAGGAAGCGCTGCAGCACTGGGCACCTTCCAAGAGCTCGCACAGACTTGGATCTCCATAAGGCTATTACCAAAGTGGAAAAGCAAGCCATGGAATATGGATGATATCATCTCCATTTTGATATCATGCAAAATGAATGCAGGAATGCAGCACACCACAAACCATATACTTTACATGGGTAAACATTGGTGTGGGCTTGGTGACACAAAGGCACATGGTCACCAGGCTGGGTATAGAACAGGGTGGAGAGCAAAGTAAGAAGAGGCCTAAGTTCCTCATAGTAAGGCTTAGTGTATGAAAAGTAGACATAAATGCACACATATGCAAAGACCCACAGAAGCAGTAAGCCCTTGTGGCTGGGTATGAAGTGACATTGTCACTGTTCCTTCTGTTTTGTAAAGCTGGGATAGTCTAGAGCAGTGGTTCTCAACCTGTGGGGCATGACCCCTTTGGGGATCAAACAATCCCTTCACAGGGGTCACCTAAGACCATCAGAAAACAAAGATATTTATATTCTGATTCATAACAGTAGTAAAATTATAGTTACCAAGTAGCAATGAAAATAATTTTATGTTGGAGGAACACAAGGAACAGTTTTAAAGAATTGCAGCATTAAAAAGGTTGAGAGCCACTGGTCTAAAATAATAAGCATATATTGTTTGCTAGTCAGAAACAACAGATGACTTTACTCCAAAAGCTTTTAAAACAATGCAAACATGTTACCCTGGGCATATTGTAGAAGGCCTGGAAAAAGGACGAGACTAGGGCATGGGGATGTGGCAGGCCATGAATAAAAGCCCACCTCATGTGTGGTATGGTCAGACAGGGAGGAAAGAAGAACTACAGTGTGGTGAGGCTACAGCAGACAGAGCAAATTTGGCATCCAGGCTCAGCTCTGGACCCCCAGTGACCTGGAGAGTGGCCTTGTCATTGAGGGCCTCACTTTCTCCCTTTACAGGGTAGGAAGGGTGAGGAACACCCACTGGTCAGGTTGTGATGGGAATTTACTGAAAACATATACAATCTTAGTACACAGAGGTCTCTGAAGTCAGTGTCTGAGGATGCCTGAGTAGGATGGGTGTCCATGTGTGCTCTAGGATGCAGGTTGCAGGGCAGGCATCTGTGGGCAGCTAAGGAAATGGGATGAGCGTTGGCAGGTGCAGGGTTCTGAGGGCCTTACTCTTTAGCTCGCTAGGGCTGTTTGGAAGCAGCAAGTGATTGGCCTATGAGGACTAGGAGCAGAGTCCTCTTACTTAAACCTGACTGCTTAAATTTTATCCCAAACTGATAAAGGCAGACAACAAATCCATTAATGAACAAACAGCAAGAATACTGTGAAGGAGGACAATGTCTCCCTATTCCCTCCTTGTTCATCCTTAAGATGAGGAGACATCTGCTCCCCCAGCTGCTCTGACTTCTCCCCCAGGGGACAATGGCTCTTGTGTTCTTAAAACACAGGTAATCCAGACCAAGACACACTGTAAATCCCAACTATGTGCCAGAATCCAAAGATTTAGAGGAAGGGGAAAAGAATGAAATCTGTCATGTACTAGTTTCAGATTGACTTCATGTTGGAGTGATAAGATGGGTAAAGTAAATATTTACTCAGGTTTTACAGGTTTCATTTTCTTTTAAAAATATGGCTGACTAAAAACATAATTACAAAATGTCACTTCCTGGAAATTTGATTTTGTGGTATTCACATGGATGGAGAGATAAATGGGGAAACCACTTGTAACCTCTCTCATCGTGATAAAATACCAATGAAAGCAACTTGAAGCACAGTTACTTTGGTGCTCAGTCTAAGGGAATAAAGTCCGTCATGGAGGGCAAGGCAGGGCAGCAGCAGCAGGTATAGGGGTGCTGGTTCCATTCATAGCCAGAAAGCAGAGAGACTGGAATTAGACCTGGTAGTGGGACCTCAAAGCCTAAGGCTCCAGCTCCTACAGGTTCCAAACCTTCCAGAACAGTCCTGCCAGCTAGTAACCAAGTGTTCAAACACGCAGGGACATCACATTTAAACCACAAAGCCACCTCCCATAATAGTTAGGGGGCACAACCGAGTCTGCTCCCAGGCCTCTGCTGGAAGTCTCTCCACTGACTGTCCCCCAAGTCCCTTCCCGGCTACTCTTGGCTATAGAACCTGCTTCTGATACACTGCTCTCCCCAGATCCTCTGGAATGCTGTCTTCCAAGGTTTCTTTGTCTGATAAGGTGGGGGGAGAACTAGTTGTCACCTTGTGAAGCTTGTTAAGAGCAATGAGAGGGTAACTCAACAGGAACGTGCTTGCCTTGCCTGGTTTTGTTTATTACTACTGTATGTGTGTATGAGTATGTACACACACACACACACACACACACACACACACACACACACACACACACAC